ACTCTAAATTGTGTGTTCATTATTTGTTAACTTGTGTTTAACCGTTCAGCAGAAGTAACCATAAGTGAGAGTGGTAGGCCTAGTCATTAATAAGACCTGTGAGTTTCACTTTGTGTTGTTCATGAGGAAGAATCCAATAAAGGTTCTTCAAAACTGCCACCTGGTGGTGAAAACAACAACAACAACAACAACAACAACAACAACAACAACAACAACATGAGCTACACTTACTCTCTCTGTAGTTGTGAGGTGTCATGCTACAATATTGTGCTTGACACATGTGCACTGTTACAAAGAACTTGTAAGATTTACTTGAAAAAAATCTTCGTAACAATTTGCACTAATGTTTATTAAGTAAATTTAAATGCTACAAATTCTTGAAATATTTACTCATCGTTATCTAGTAAAAGTTATTAAGAATATAGTTAAAGATTTGTGAATGAATCAGGTAAATTTTACTTAATTTGATCAAGTTAATTGAACAAATTAAGTAAAATTTACCTGATTTATTCATAAATGCTTAACTATATTTTAATAACTTTTACTTGATAAGGATGAGTAAGTATTACATGAATTTGTAGCATTTAAATTTACTTAACAAACGTTGGTGCAAATTTGTTAGAGGATTTTTTTCAAGTACATCTTACAAGTTATTTTTTTTTCAGTGTACTTACTTAAAATTTCAACATTTCTGTCTTGGTCATTTTGTTTTGGCCCTGATTCTTGCAGTAGAAATAACAGGGACAAAAAAAAAGCCTTTCCTAAAAATTCAGCGTAAAACATTCCTGCAGTGGAAACCTGCTTATGGGCATTTCGATAGGCATTTTGCAGAACCTGAAGAGGTTTTAAAAAACTTATTGTAAGTGTGCACAACATATCCTTCACTTGATCTTGGCACAGGTCTCTTTTTAGACACATGCAGCGATGTTTTAGAACAGAGATTCCCAATTTTTTAAACTTTCAACCCATAATAAAAAGTCACAGATACTCATGACTTTGACCATTGTTGGTTGGACTGTACAAACACAGCTAACAAGCCATTTAACAAAGAGCTTCATAAACCATTGTATTATTCCTCATATCTTATTGTAACAGTTAGGGCAAAATGTGGTACAGGCAGTCTTTTCAAGTATCCCAACTGGTTTTTCACAAGCCACAATATGGGCCTGCCCCCAATTTTTAGAACCAGTGCACCAGAAGATCGTGCCACGCTAGCTTGGTGCAACTGCCATGGTATTAGTCTTTACAACATTATTTTCACGATGAAGGTCTCACTAAGTTCCTGCAAAGACCATCTGTGTTCTGGTTAATGTTTTTTGTTCTAGCAAGATCATCCTCCAATGTGAGGGGCGTCAACTGGCACATTAGTTTATCAGATCATCTTGCAATGGTTGAAATTTTTTAAAGCACTGAACACGGTGTCCTTGTCTAAAATAGATCCACCCAAACTAAACTAATCAGCATACAGGGCATCATAAAAAYCTGTCATTTATTTCATCGCTTATCACACAGAAACCGTACTCCTCTGACCCACTCTTCCTCCGCTTTTCGTCAACCCAGCAACTTTATTTTTACATATATCCCTGAGTTTCAGCTTACTTTTTATTAGGATAGACAATAAAAAGCTTTTAAAAACAGGCTCAGGAAGTCACAGAGTGATGTAAAACTGTAAAATCAGACAATGTTTGATTTATGCGTGCCATTAGCAAGGAATAGTGTTCCATCAAAAGCAGTCTGTCTGTCCCAAGGCTGTCTGTGAAACCCAAACCCACGGTCATACAGATAGGATTTTATGATCTCATCTGAATGATGAGTGTATTGAAGCTGTAATTACATTGAGCAGTGTTTTGTGTGTTTTTGTGTCTGCTGGCTTGATCATCCCATGTCCTCGATATAAACCAGTTCTTATGTTTTCTGAGGCTGCTTTCAGACTGCTTTAGTTGGCGATATGAAGAACTTCCAATAAAACAGATTGACTATCTACTTGTGGTTATCTGAGGTTATAAATGGAAACATTTATTTATTTTTTTGTCTTGTCATTTCAGCGAGGGAAGAGAACGTGGCTACCTTCCGTGGTTCGGAGTACTTCTGCTACGACCTGTCCCAGAACCCCATTCAGAGCAGCAGCGACGAGATCACGCTGTCCTTCAAGACGTGGCAACGCAACGGCCTCCTCCTGCACACGGGGAAATCCGCAGACTATGTCAACCTGGCTCTGAAAGACGGGGCCGTTTCCCTCGTCATCAATCTGGGTTCTGGGGCCTTTGAGGCCATCGTGGAGCCAGTCAATGGAAAATTCAATGACAACGCCTGGCACGACATCAAAGTGACACGCAACCTGAGACAGGTAATCGGGGGTAACAGTGATGGATGGAGTTTGGAGACTTTTGCTTTTTCTGTCCTATAGATTCGTTTCCACGAAGAGCTTTTGAGAGGGCATTAAGAAAGTCACCTTTCTTCTTGGTTGTCATTCCATCACTACAGTTTGGAAACATTATTGAGACTATTTTTAGTTGTTTTCACAGTGACACAAACTCCTCTTTGATTTATTGTCATTGTTTTATTTATCTCATACTATACTGCTTCATAAGCTGTTAACAGAGGTCTGCAGCAGGTGAATGTTAACAATTTCTATATTTCTATTCTGCCAGGTATTTTCTATCCTATTTTTGGCATATTGAAAAGAAGTGAATGGAGTGTTTAGTCCAAAGTTGTCTGACTCTGTTGTTTTGCTTTTCTAGGCTGACACTGCTACAGAGTGCTGTTACTGTCTCCACAGCTTTTACTTTAAAGTCGCTCGGCGAGTGTTTGCCTTTGAGCCATCCATTAACGCCTTGGTTCCATATTTTCTTCTTTAAAATTAGCTTGTATTTTACAGCTCAGTGAAGCGGGTATGATTTTGTAGCATCTATATGAGGCTGTAGAAGGGTAGTAAATAACTATAAAAGACCAAGTGGTGCATGAAGGTAATGTTAGCTATAGAACGCGGAGTTGTTCATTGTCTCGGCTGACCTTTAGTTTGTCAGGTGCAACAGTGTTTAGTGCTGCTGTCAGAGCAGAACAACAAGTAAGTGCCGTTTTTCTGACGCTCTTTGGCAGTAGGTTTTTGTCCCACAGGTTAGTTCTCTCAGATATTCTCAGCAGTAAAACACACAGGTGGTTGGTTTTAGGCTAAAAGCTGAGAACTTCATGTTGGCTTTGTTCTGTACAGATCTCTCTCTCCTTTTTTTTTCCTTTGTCATTTTTTTTTTTGTCTCTGAAAGGAACACTTTAAGAGTAAAGGTGGAAAAATGCTGCAGTTTTTGTTGGAATTCAAGCAGTCCTAWGCAAAAAATTGATCTGGAAGTCCCATATCTGACGAGACTTCTGAAKAGGTCATTTTCTTGAAGGACTCTAAAAATAATGTGCCTTGGATGTACAGTATGTGGTGCCAAGCATCAAATAAAATGGTAAAAAATGTCACTAACACATTTTAATTATTTAGCTCAATTTAAGTGTAAAATCCTAGTTTAAAAAATGCTAGTTTCATTTTACAGAGTTTTTTTTAGCTTCTGACAACAACGGTGGCTCAGTTGGTAGAGCTGATGCCTCTCAGCAAGAAGGTTGCCGGACTGAATCCCGACCCAGGGACCTTTCTGGGTATAGTTTGCATGTACTCTCTGTTCATGTGTGGGTTTTCCCCCGATACGCCAGCTTCCTCCCACAGACTAAAAAATGTGAATGTTAGATTTATTGGTAACTCTAAATTGTCCCAAGTTGAGAGAGTGAATGGTTGTTTTTCAATCTGAAAAGAGGAAGTGAGTATAGATAATGGATGGATGAATTTAGTAAAAATTTGCAAAATGTAAGAACAGTGAGCTAAATAGCAATAAGATGTTGGTGGAATATTTTTATCTATGATTTTATACTCAGAAAAAATAATTATATTGTGTTAATGACATTCTTTTAACATTTGACAATACCCTTGGGACCCCATATGGATAGCATGATGGCATTTATTTCCTACTGCTAATCTCTGACAAATCATGTAGTGTTTATTCACCATGACACTAAATCATCCATGATAGTCATTTTTTATTTACTACTAACCAATATCTAACCAACTAATGTACTAACTAACATCCTAATTCTTCATCATTGCTTTTGGTTTTCGTTTTCTGTCCATCCTTATTAACAACCTTTTTTGTTCACTATTCTGTTGATTTCCTTTCTTCCCCTTTTTCTGGAAAGCAATCAGGCATTGGACACGCTATGGTAAACAAACTACATTGTCTGGTAGATATCATTCTTATTGTCTTTTTTTTGGGTTTGCCGTGTGTCCCCTCCCCCTCTCTTCTTTTATTCGTTCTCTTTGAGTTCCATCCTAGACACTCTTATCAAAAAATGAGGAGATGGGTTTGTATTACCAGGCAATTCTTTCTTCGCTTCTTCTCAATTTTCTTCCCTGACCTGCCAACAACCTCCCTTCTTTACCCCACCAATCCCCCATCCTGTTCTTTTCACTTTGGCTTTTACTTTTTTCTTTTATCTCTTTGTTTCCTCCACATAACCGCAGATATCCAACAAGTATAACAATAATAATAAAATTTGACTTCTTTGCCTTTGTCAGGGCAACTTACTTTTTTATTTTACTTTTTTTTTCACACTAAAAGTCCCCATTTTTTGTGAGGACTGTCGTCAAGAACTGACAGAAGCTTACCACAATCTCCAAGCTGGTGACCTCGACACCGAGCCCTAAAAAGAGACGCCACCAAAACAACCAAAAAAAATAAAATAAAAAGGCAACCCTTAACTTTAATTATTGCGGGAGCTCTGACAGTTGTTTCCAACTCACTATGGCGCATGGCATGCCCACACCTCATTGACCTGTCATCAACCAAACTCATATAACCTCAGCCCTGCCACCAATAATAACCACTAACACTCTAATTCATTCACTCACCTTTCCACCTGTCACTCACTTTGCCTTCCCTGTGTGTGTTTTTTGGTAGCATGCTGGTGAGAGTTGTGTTTCTGTGTTTTGATAACCCCTGGGCCCATACGTGTAACATTTCAAAGAATAAAGCAAACTGATCTGGGATTCTTGGTCTGGTCCAGTGACACCGACAGTACAACCATGACACTAGAGCAAAACCTGATCAGAGATCAGCGTTTGCCATTCTGTGAGCATGTTCGGGTATGAGCTCTGGTCTTGCATGAGCTTCACGTCTGCATGTTCCAAGTCCGTATGCCACCATTAAACCACCCTTACATGTTCAGTTCAGTGTCTTTAATTTGCCTTATAAGAGTAACACCCTTTGTTTGCACATTGATGTGGTGTCAAATAAAAGCCTCCCCTTTGTTTTGCATGCGCGTGGATATACAGATGTAGATCTTCAGAAGAGAGCAGCGAGTGTGAGACAGTCGGTGTGGGAATTTGCGAGTGAAGATGCCTGAGTGCGTGTGTGTGTGTGTGGGTGTGGGTGCGTTCACAGACATGTATTGTGTGTGTCTGCAGTAACCGAATAAATCCCGAAACCTAAGACAAGTGGAATCAATTTGTCCTTGGTTTGAATATTGTACTAACCCTCCCCCCAACCTGAAGTTTCTGAATCAAACCTAGGATCCATTCTCTTACCCACCATCAAAGATAAAGAAAATATGCCTCTGCCATATTTTCTTTACCTGTCCTGTGAATCCTTTGGCTAAAAAAAATCCATTAACAAAATCTAAACGCTGTCTGGTCCAAAAGACCCCAAGGTACCAAAAGACAAACGGTCCAATAAAGAAGGAATCTAAAACCAGTTCTTAAAGCTCATTTCGAATGCAGACCAAGGAGGGAAGTTTGTTTTTTGTACACAGCAAAGGAACAAATCCAAGAGTGTAATGGCTTGGCTTTGGCTATGTGTTACACCCCGACAGGTGACGATCTCCGTCGATGGGATCCTCACCACCACCGGCTACACTCAGGAGGACTACACCATGTTGGGCTCGGACGATTTCTTCTATGTGGGTGGGAGCCCCAGCACTGCAGACCTGCCAGGATCCCCAGTTAGCAACAATTTCATGGGCTGCCTCAAAGAGGTAGGAGATACTTTAATGAAATATTTACTGTTGCATAAATTGTATAGGAGGTACAGTAGCAACGTCTTCACAGCAAATACAATATATTCCCTGAGAGATTTAACTTGATGGGAACAGCTGTCTGAAATGTACAGAAACACTTATACGCCCACTTTCCCTAAAAGGCAGACAGAGGGAGAGAGAAAAGCAAAATTGTGTTAACAATTAAAGCTGCTGAGTTGGCGGAGCAGCAATCAGACTTTCAATATTCCCTCTCTTAATTCAATTCATAACCCCCACTCCAATTTGTGTGTGAGAAAATATCCCCCCAAATTGCTTCTGTCATATGTAATTTGCAGCATCAGCTCGAGCGCGTGGCTAAAAACACCTCCCGACGGGCAGCAATTTCAAAGAAATATTTGCCCCTGACGAAAACGGGAGGGGGAAAAAATTGGAGTTGTTTTGGGAAATTTATAATATACTGGCTGGCACTCAATGAGTAGAGCCAACAAATTTATGTGAAGGACCCTGTTATTTATGATTTGCTCAGCATTACTTATACTGTGCAGCAGAAAATCATAAACAGAGGGGTTGTGGCTTATTGAAGCAGTCAAATCAAACTTCATCGATTTTAACACCTTAGCTTTCTCAAAAATAGCAAATTTGCTTGGGACACTGTGCGCATTTTATCTATACACAATATTAAAGAGTAAGGTGGCTACAAGCACATCAACACATTTGTGTAATTGAAATGGAAACTGTGAAGTAAAGGAAAATAAACACTTTCACTGGTTTATCAAATACATTTATGTACTGGCAACATAAATAAGAAATGTGTACAACATTCAATCTTTCAAAACAATAAAAAAACAGTTTCCTCCAGGCTTTTAAAGCATCAAATAAATTCCAGCAAATAGACTGTGCCAACTGTTATAAATGTTGAACCTATCATACTTTCCAATGGTTAGTCAACCAAATMGATTTTGACAGTATCTGTTTTTAATATAACATGTTTATAATAGGGGAAATGGATTAATAATTTTTGTCCATTGGCAAGTTTGTTGTTGTTAAAAATAATAAAACAGCTATTTTTTTACTGTGCAAGCTTGTGGTGTTATCTTTTTCTTACTTTTTCTTACTAAGGTGAGTAACTGTGGTTCAGGAAGGTAGTGTTAATGCCCTTCAGTTGAGAGGTTGTCAGTTTGATTCCAACAGTGGCTCCATTGGTAGAGCTGCTGCCTCTCAGCCAGAAGGTTGCCAGATCAAATCCTGACCAGAGAGTTTTATTGGTAGAGTTTGCATGTTCTCTTCATTCATGTGTAAGATTTCTTTGGGTGATCGGTTACCTTCCGCAACTCAAGTGTGCATGTCAGGCTAATTGGTAACTAAGTTGGCCCTATAGGTAAGAGTGTGAATGGTAGTCTCCAAGGCAAGGTTCACACTGCGGGCAAATGTGACCTAAATTAGATTTTATTTTCCTTATATGCGACCTATACGGGATTTTTTTCAAAGGACCTCTGTCTGAATGATCATGACTTATACTTCAGTAAGATGGGAATTTACGGATTGATCCACGTGTTTAGGATATTTGTCCTAATGCATCGCAATACTCCAGGTAAAAAACAAAAAGTTAAGTAGATCCTATGTACCGTCCAGAGGAGGAAATGGGCTCCAGTGACCCCCTCCTGACCTGGAAAGGAAGAAGTGGGTAAAAAAATGTATTGATGGATGTTCTTTTTGGACACATTCCAACAGGAGTATTTAATGGACAATGTTGTGATCTGTATTGAGAGTTAGAGAGAGGGTGGAAGAGAGCCTGGAGAAGTGGACRTCAGGCAAGACAGAATACATGAACAAGCGGGACATTTATGTAACATTTGTGTAACATAAATCTACAAGGAGTAGAGGTATGAWATAACTTTCTTTATTATTAAGGCAAATCAGGTTGCTAAAATTGTAACAGCTATTAAAAGAAACCAAGTCTGCATGATAAAAACAGTTCTAGTGCTGGCAGATAATCCTGCTAAGCTATTTTATGTTAATTTTTTTATATTTACTGGTAACCTTTTAGACATTTTAAACTTTATTATACTTTTACCCACCCCAAGGAAACTCAAGTACAGACTTACAGCATCTGAAAGCTTTTTCCAAATATTTTTAGGTTTCTTGGGATGCAAACAATTAATCGACTTACGATTAATTGTYGAATAATGATTTATTAGATTAAAAWTTCTTCCATTCGATTAATTGAAAACATGCGTTTAAACCTTATTTCRGTGTAGTTTTGCTTTCATCCAGTAGATGGCGGCGCTGCTCTTTCAGCCTGGCGTTCCGTTAAACCCGACCCTGTTGAGCTGAGCAGAGAGCCRGCCACCTCCGTAATTAAACAYGCAAATCTTGTTCAGTTGTATTTGCGAAAAAAAACAATAATAATGGACTACACCAAACTCGAAGKAAAAGTACCGAAGGCTGTACTGGACCATCCAGCAGTATGAGGCTAAAGACGAGAGCAGGACGACAGCGAGCACGGTAAGCTAGCTTTAGCTAACGTTAGCTTCTTTTTGTAGAGTTTAACTCCGCGTGAAATAACAAAACAAAACAAARCAAAAAAGTTATTCACTACATATAATTAACGTGAAGCTAATCTAATCTGTGTGACGTAACCCAGCCAGTGAACAAATGAGCAGTAACTGGAGTCCAATCACGCAGCAGCTTGAACCACAGCAGGGAATGTAAACAAACAGTTCCAGTACTCATTTTTATCTCACCCCTCTCAGGTCATGTTCACAGTTTGTTTTTGAGTAAATCTTTAGATTAAAATGTTACTCTGTGTTTAAATGTTAGTTTTACATTTCTCTATTCAGGGTGGATCAAATGTTTTACTTTTTTTCTTTCCTTTTTTCAATTAGCAACCTAATAATTCCTCTGTTGTTACATTTTGTAAATATGTCCAAGTGTAGTAATGTGTGAGAAATCTACGATTTTCTGTTTATTCAGTCAGTGTTTAATACAGCTGGCACTATACATTTTATAAAATATAATCCTGTAATTTTTTAATGTGGTGTGGAAAAAAWTAGCCCTTCATGTCACAGAAAGACCCTTGATTGAAGACAAATGTCAGGTTTTTAGGAAAATGGCCGCCTATCAATTAATCGTTAGTCGATCGATAAGATCAATCAACTTTAGATTAATTCATTAATCAATAACTTGCATCCCGTTGCCTTCGGCAGCTGTGTCCTCTATACACAAAGGTTTAGGGAAGGCATTAACTTGATGTTAATGTTTTAACTGCAAGGCTCAAACTTCCTTCTCCAGTTTTTATGTTGTCCATCATCCGCAATCTCTTCCACTCTTTGAATGTCAAGTATTTCATTTTGAAACAAAGATAGGCAAATTATTAAATGTAAGAAAAGTCGTYAAAATTTCCAGAAAACTCACCAGGTGGTGAAAAATTGTATCCTTTGAAATATCAGAATTTTTTTCTCTTTTTTTTTTTTGCAGCTTGATAGGATTAGGTGGTCCTCAGTTCTTGACAGGTATTGTAGAGAACTGAACAAAGCYTGAAACATGAATGAACTGTTAAGCCAGCTCTGCCGAGCGCGTTTGACAGCTGCAAGTATTTTTTAGCTACTCTTAAGTGCAGCTAAATCATGCTTAGCATCAAAGTTTTGTTCAGCGTTATCCAGGTAAACTGCTCTGTGTAACCGCTACATCTTTGAAATAATGCTTTAATCTTTTTTGTGACTTACTGGCTGATGTTCTGTTTGTTGATGCACAGTGCAGTCGCACTCAAGAGCTGAACTAATTCTTACCTGAGCCTTCAAAAACAAACAGTGTCATTAAAGCAAATATGAAAGGCTCAATTTGTAACAGCTTCTCGTAAGTCCTGGAGCGACGCCACAGTTGATTATGTTAAATTAAAGACCTAGTATTTCCTGAAGGGAAATACAGTTTTAACTGAGATGATCTGATGTTTAGAAATGACAAAGTTGCAGTTGTTTTGGTCAAACCTGCAGWTATAGTTGTGCACAGTTTTGCGCAATATTGCAAGACGTCACACTCAGAGTATCTGCTAGGGGTGACTCTCATCTACTCTCAGATCATATTGTGGCTCAGTATCTGTAAAACTGATCGATTTGTACCTGTTTTTGAATTGGCTAATAAGGATTAGCTGTGGTGGCCATTTTCAGTTGGCTTGACTCTAAAAGTTAAACAGTCGTAGATTATCATCCTTTGATTACTTTCTGAAATATAATATGAATAATTCCTGAAAGTTTTGTTAAAACCATCAAGTTGTTCATGAAATATTTTGCTAACCGACATAGACTAATAGTTTGTGGCAAAGCTTTCTTGATTTTATTGAAATTAGTCCTGTTCATGACATATTTTGGGAAAATCCTTTGAAAATTCAACTAAATAATAGTGTTTATTGAATCATCTTTAAAGTTTTTAATTTGATGGTTGTGAAACTTACAGAAAATAGCTCTGATTGGGATTTTACACATTGATCTAATTTTAAAATGCCTCCAGTTGGATAGATTAAATATTTTTGGCCTAATGTGGGCAGAACTGTAAGATGCTGCAGATTACATGCTTTACTCTAGTTTTATGAAATCATACACTTTAACCATCCAGATGTTAGCAGCAATTCCAAGTGTTGCCTTTAGCAATCTGATACATGCACCACAAATTCAATATTCCCCCTCCTTGGAGCTGTTCTGGCTTCCGCTGCTTCCTGAGGGAGATATCTGGCTCCTTAGCTGCTCAGCGCTTCTCTGTGTTCATTTGCTCGTCGCTAATGTTCCTCGCAGCCGCACGAGCGCTTGTATCTGTCATGTGCTTCCAATATTATCTGTGACTCAGCATGAGTTGGCTCTCGAGTTTGTGGACGTGATTCACAGCGCGCCAGAGTTGTGGCAGCATTTGTTTGATCTTCAGCTGCTTGTCATATGTTTGCGGCGTTACTCTGACATGATGCTGTCTGCTTCCCACGTCCATGCAGACTGCTCACAACAAGCCCT